GAGAGGGAGAGGAAAGGAGCGGGAGAGAGAAAGGGGCAGAGAGAGAAGAATAGGGGAGAGGGGGAGAGAGGAAGAGAGACAAAGAGGCAGAGAGAAAGAGAGAGGGAGGGAGGGAAAGAGAGAAAGGGGCAGATAGAGATAAATAAGAGAGGGAGAGAGACAGAGAGATAAGAGGGAGAGGGGGAGAGAGGAAGGTGAGAGAGGAAGAGATCTGGCACAGAGATCTACTTTTCTCTGAATCCTACCCACCCCCAATCTCAGGACAGAATAACAAGAGTTGGAAGGGACCTTGGAGGTCGTCTAGTCCAACCCTTTGCTCAAGCAGGAGACCCTATAAAGGTAGAGCTCGACTTACGACCCCAATGGAGCCCAACATTTCTGTTGTTAAGCGAGACACTAAAGTGAATTTTGAGTTTTGAGGCCCACTTTCTTGCCACAGCTGTTAAGCAAATGGCTGCAGTTGATGAGTTAGTAACCTGGTTGTTGATTAGTTTCCACCCGGTTGCTTCTGGACCCTAAGAAACATCACCTCTCCCTCCTTTCCCTTGTTTCCCCCTTTCCTTTCCTTTCCTTCCTTCCACCCTTCCCTTCTTCCCTTCCTTCTTCTTCCTTCCTTCCTTCCTTCCTTCCTTCCTTCCTTCCTTCCTTCCTTCCTTCCTTCCTTCCTTCTCCTTCATCATCTCACTGAAAGAGGCTTCTTAGTTTTTTTAAAAAAATTCGGCCTTCCTTCATCTGTTTCCTTGGCAACCAGCTGGAGGAAGGTGCTGGGTGGAGTGGGGGGAAGGAGTGGAAACTGAGGGTTATGGAAAGAGCCCCCAGCAAACTTCTGAAAACTTTATGGGCCAGCCTTTCCCAGGCCATCTTCTCCCGGGGTTGCCCCCATTCAGGCGCCCTTTGAAAAAAAAGACAATAGGGGCCTTGGAGGGGTCGACCACCACTGAGCATCTTCCAAAGGGAGGGGGGGGGGGGGGGGGGGGGGGACGAGGGACGAGGGGTTTCCCAGCTTCATACTGAAGGTGAGAGTCTACCAAAGTTGGATCGTTTGTTATTTCCAATTCGTGCGCCCAAGCGTCTAAGTAAAAAGGGGGGCAAACTATTTAAAATGCCTCTTTTCTGGAGTTGGAGAAAGCGGGAATTCATTTCACCTTCTGGCCCTTGAGCTCTGAATTTGGACCGAAATTTCAGATCCCAGAAGGACATGGAAAGAGGGCGGTGGAAGGATGTGGATCAACCTGCCTGCCTTCCTGCCCTCCTTCCTCTCCTCTCCTCTCCTCTCCCTCCTTTCCTTCTTTCCTTTCCTTCCTTTCCTTCATTCCCTTCCTTCCACTCTTACCTCTCTCTCCTTTCCTTTTTTCCTTTCCTTCCTTCCGTCCTTCCCTCTCTCTCTTTCTTTTTTTCCTTTCCTTTCCTTCCTCTCCTCTCCCTCCTTTCCTTCTTTCCTTTCCTTCCTTCAATCCTCCCCCTCTTTCCTTTTCTTTTTTCCTTTCCTTCCTTCAATCCTCCTTTCCTTCCTTTCCTTCCTTCCCTTCCTTCCATCCTTACCTCTCCCTCCCTTCCTTTTTTCCTTTCCTTCCTTCAATCCTCCTTTCCTTCCTTTCCTTCATTCCACTCTTCCCTTCCTTCTCCTCCATCATTCCTCCCTCCCTCCCCCCCCTCCTCTCTCTTTTCTTCCCTCCCTTTCTCCCCTTTTCCTCCCACCTCTTCCAGAGCCATTTGACTCCTAAAATCCGTAAAAGCTGCAACAGGTTTCCCAATCCAGAAACAAACACCTGGAGAATCTCCCACCCCTAGGTGTAAGACCACACCTAGAGCACTGCATCCAGTTTTGTTCACCACACTATAAAAAAGATGTTGAGACTCTAGAAAAAGTGCAGAGAAGAGCAACCAGGATGATGAGGGGACTGGAGATTAAAACACATGATGGGCGGTTGCAGGAACTGGGCCTGGCTAGTCTAGAGAAGCGAAGGACCAGGGGAGACAGGATAGCGGTCTTCCAATATTTGAGGGGCTGCCCCAGAGAGGAGGAAGGGGGTCAAGCTGTTTTCCAAAGCACCCAAAGGCCAGACAAGGAGCGATTGATGGGAGACATTCAATTTAGGAATAAGGAGAAACTTTCTGACAGTGAGAACGATCAACCCATGGAACAGAGAAGCTGCCTTCAGAAGTTGTGGGAGCGCCATCACTTGAGACTTTCAAGAAGAGACTAGACTGACATTTGTCAGAAATGGTGTAGGGTCTCCCGCTTGGGCAGGTGGGGGGTTGGACTAGATGACCTACAAGGTCCCTTCCAACTCTGATTATCTGTTACCACCACCCCACCACCTCTTTACTCCCCCTTTTCTCTCTCTTGAGTTTTGAAGGCCAACCTGGATGAACCCCCCTGGAACATCCCCTCCCTGCCTGCTTGTGTGCCAGCAAGGAAGATTGATTCCCCTGCTTGCAAAAAAAAAAAACGCCGCCCTCCCCGCCCCAGAGAAACGTCTGAATGCTACTGGCGGGTAGGAAAGGGGGAGGGAGAAGAGTGGCCGCGGGCATCCCCCCCTCCAAAAAAGCCGCGGGCCTCTTCCTTTCGCAAGGGAAGAGGCGCGTGTGCGAGGAAAACGAAAGTTAGAAGCTTCAGCGTGTCGCAGATCGCGCTTTTTCTCCAGGGTTGGACGGCAGCTGCTCGGATTGCAAACGAACTGCCATGGCCGAGGCGTCCGGTTTCCAGGTGACAGTAGGCTCTGGGGGGGGGGGTCTCTGGAGGAAGGGGAGAGGGAAGGTTAGCCCGGTTGGTCCCCAAGTCACCCAGGTAGGTGGGCGATCGGTTCCGAGGCAGAAAGAGAGCAGGCTATTCAGCCTTTGAGTGCTGAACGCTTTCCTGCAGCTTGGGCGAGGGAAGCGGGGTGGGGTGGAGGGCAGAAGCTCCCCCCTCCACCTGCTTGGTCCCACCTAAGAGTTTTCCAAGGAGGAGGACGGAGCCAGAGGGAAGATGCTATAAGGGGAGGGGGCTGCCCCCTTGGAGAAAAGCTTGCAAAAGATCCATAAGCCACCCAGTTTCTTTCCTTCCTTTCCTTTTGCCACCCGTTTTTATTTTTCTTCCTTCCTGGTTCTGGGCTGGCTTCAGGTATGCCTCTGGGAGTGTGTGTGTGTGTGTGTGTGGTGGGGGGTGTATTCCAAGCACCTGGGCCGGTTTTGGAAGGAATCCCCGTCTCCCAGATCAGGCTGTACTGCCTCTCCCATGAACCCCAGCCAGCATAGGAGTTGGGGCCAGCAACAGTTGGAAAGCCAGGCTTCGCTTCTTTCGCTTCTTTCATTTGAGGAGTTGTCAGCCGTGCTAGATAAACCTGGCAGGAAATAGGACAGAAGGAACTAATAATTCTACTTCGTCGTCAGGCTAAAATCTCGAAGGCCTGAAGAGATGGACTTCCTGCCGCCATTTTTTGAAAGGACTTCCAAATTTTATTCCTCTCCCTTATGAGTCACTGTGTCCACTCATAAAACACACTTTGGAGGCCTCCTGTCTCTATTCTCAGATTATCTCTTCCCTTCCTCCCCTCCAGGTCATCCATAAGGTCCTCTACAGTACACCAGCTATTGAGAACTGAGTTAGAGACGTGTTCGTTGAATACTAGACTCTTGTTTCTCAACTTCAGCCTCTTGGAGATTAGTGGGCTCCAATTCCCAGAATTCCCCCCACCCCAAACAATCTGCTAGAGGGGAATCTGGGAGTTGAAGTCCACCGAGTAGCTGAGGTTGAGGGAAAAAACGGAGCTCATGGGTTGAAGATTTCCACTCCAGGACATCTGGCCATCCTCCAGATTTCAACTCCCAGAATTCTCAGCCAGGGCCAGGCTTGCTGGGGAATTCTGGGAATTCAAATCAAGCAATCTGGAAGCTGCTAAGATTGGCAAAGATTGGGTTTAGGATTTCTACGCAAAGGAGAATCAAGAGCGTTGGAAGGAAGACAGACAAGGAAACTAACCTCCACTTGTGTTGTTAGGTCCTCCTTCTGCCAAGTTTACAGTTGGCTTCCTCCTCTCTTATCCAAAAGAGCAAAACCAAAATTATTGGACAGGAGGAGGGGTCTGAAAAATGGCCAAGTACTCTGCCACACCCAACTTTCTACATGTTCCTGCTAGCAGCATCTGACTTCCTGCTCGTATTTTATTCCTTTCCGGTTGCATCCATAGAACCATGTTCCTCTCGTGTCTTCTACTTCCACAGGAGATGAAAGAGGAGTTTCAGTTCCTCCTATGCGATAGTTGCCACGCAGAGGTCCTGAACCCCACACTCCTGCCCTGCCTTCACAATCTGTGCTCCCAGTGCCGTGAGGAAAACAAACCCATCGGGGTCTGCGTCATCTGTGGAACTCCACACTCCCACTCTGCAGAGATCCCCCAAAATCCAGATAATGTGTTCTTTGCCAATCTCCAGTTCAAATTCAGTCTCTACCAGAAGGTCACTGGGAACCAACGCTTGGCTTGTGAAAACTGTGAGAATGAGGCAGAGTTTTGGTGTTCCACCTGCAAGGAGTTCCTTTGCACCTTGTGCTTTCGAAGCCACCAGAGATACCTGAAGAAAGAGAATCATGAAGCCAGATCGCTGAAGGACTTCCAGGCAGAATCTTACAGAGAGTTTTTCTCAACCGTCAGAAAAAACAACACCATGTTTTGTTCCAAGGTGGGGCACAACACCCAAATGTTAAGGTAGGTTGTCCATCTCTGCTTCATTCTCAAATGGAGAGAACCTGTTTTAAGCCACTGTGATGACTCAGGGTGTGGCACAAAGGCAACACAGTCAGAGAATAAGAATGAGTTCCTTTATTAGCTCCAACTTTGCCCCCAACGACCCGGTTATTTTCTGGTCTGGAGAAAAACTCTCCCAAGAGCCTGCACCAGCCTTTGGCTGCAGATATTCCAATCCAAATATTGTAAACTGAAAACTTTTAAACTATAAATTCAACAAGGCAAAATAATTAAACCCAGCAGAGCAAGATACGAGTTGCAGAAATGAAGTAACAAGGCAGTAAATCAAACTAGTTGGGAGGATGCCAGGAACTCAGATTACCACAGCCAAACCCAAGATAAACTCAATGTTTGATCCCGACAACCCACCTGCCTCTCCTCTAAACATCATCCCCAGGTGTGCCTTGTGAAGGGAATCAGGGCCCTTTCCTCCCCCGTAAGCCATGCAACCCACGTTGCTCCCTTCTCTGTTTCCCCCCTGCATGAAGAGGAGGAGGTGGGCCTTGGTCTTCCTCCGAATTCCCTCTCCCTTGTTCTCCCTCTCCCCCTGCTCTGCCCAGCCCGACTTTGCCCTTCCCCAGTTTCCTCCACAACCAACGGAGCCACTCTCCTACTCCCTGTCAGCATGTTACACACTGCCTGGCTTTCCAGCCTGCCCAGAAGCTGATGGTTTTCAAATCTGGGGCAAGAAGCAGTGAAGTTTGTTGTTCCAATAGACATCTGGATGAAGGCGTAGAGAAGTGTTGAACTAACTAGCTAAGATAGAACAAGACAAACGGGAAGACGAGAGGTGCCACCAGCTTTAATGAAATAAATACCAGTTGGGTTTCCAGGACACTCAGCATGTTTTGTAGAGGTATACGGTAATGTGTGACTATCCTCGAAGCACAGTTTCAGGAAATGAGATCTCATTCTTGAAGATGAGTCTCCAAATTTCTCATGGTGGAAGCACCTCACTTAGCTTGGACAGTCATGAATCTGGATATTTCTGTAGGGACAATTCTTCTAACTTTTTGGGGTATCTCTTGCTAGGTTTAACTAAGCCAATCTTTATTTGGCAAACTCAGGCAGAAAAAAATACCTCTCCGTGGGCTCCTTGGTGCTGTCTGAGCTCCAAGCTCAGAGAGTATCAAGGACCCCACAGTTCAAGCCTGAGCTAGAAATATTCTATCATTTATTCTATCTATCTATTGTGAAGAGGCTTCTCTTAATATTGATGGTTTATTTCTTCCATAGTTTTAATCATATAGGTTCTGTACTCAGAGCAACAGGACAATCATAAATCTGGATATTTAGGGACAATTGTTCGAGCCTTGTTGGATTTAACTAGGGCAATGAAGGCCTCTTTGAAGGCCTCAAAGAGATAGAGCCCCGAATCCCTTCTGTTCTCCCTCTGCTCCTCCTAAGAAGACGTTTCTCCCAGTCTTCAAAGGTAAACGGTGTATTTCCTCCATAGTTTTAATCTAGTAGTTTCAAATGTTACTCAACAGGTAAAGTTTTTGTCCTCCTTAATTGTGATTGTGACATACTTGAAAAAGATGCTCAGGGGTCTAACATGACTTGACCAGGTGCTAAAGACCCAGTTTGGAGGTCCATGAGGTGATCAGGGATGGACAGCAGCTCCAACCAGAAATCACAAGCTTTGCCTTTCTTGTTCCCCAGCCTCTACTGCAAGCAGTGTAATCAATCCATGTGTACTATTTGTGCCCTACTGGACGGCGAGCACATGGGTCAACATTGCGACATCAGCCAGGAAATCCAATGCAGGCAAGACGAATTGCAGAACATGAGCGCGGAGCTGAAGGAGAAGAAGAACGCCTACGACAAGTCCTTTAGCAGCCATGAGGAACTGGTGAGGAAGATGGTGCAGTTGAGGAATGAGACGCAAGAGCTGATCCAGCGGAAGATAGAGGAGATGATCCGGATGTTGCAAGAAAAGGGCGAAGGGTATTTAGCAGAAGTAGAGGCCCTTCATAACCACCAAGTCCAAGAAGTGGAGGAGAAGCTGCAGGAGATGGATGGAGTGCGCCAGAGAATCACATCCAGCCAGAGGATGGTGGAGAAGATGCATCTCTATGCTTCTGGCCAAGAGGTGTTGGAGATACATCCCTTCCTCAGACAGTCCATGATGGAGCTGAGAAGGAAGCAGCCACCTACAGCAGAGGGAATCAAAGTGAAAAACTTCGTAGAAACCAAGAGCCAGCTTCAAAATTTGCTCGAAAGAGTAACAAACAAGAAAGGTAAGGTTTTGCAAAGGTACGCAGGTGGTCTTCCATTTATAACGATTGGAATTTCTGTCACTAAGCAACACAGCTATTCAGCCAGTCATCAGGGACCCAATTTTAGGATGATTTCTACCAGAGGTGGTATTCAGCCGGTTCGCACCGGTTCTCACGTACCGGTGGCAGAAATTTTAGTAGCTCGGAGAAACAGCAAATACCACCTCTGGCTGGCTCCGGCCCCGCCCGCTCACTCACCCTGCCCCACCCAGTCCCTTCTCATTTCGCTCCCCGGCATAACACACTGGGTGGTTGCTCACTTGCGTTGACCACACAGTCTCGGGGGCTTATCTGCCTTCCCACGTGGTGCCTGCGGCCCAACTGAACGGCCCTGATCTGCCTGCCTGGGTAAGTAAGTCTGCGAATCATGGCCTAGCTAGCTGCTTCCTCCCCGCCCCCCCTTCCCCCATCTCCACCTTGCCTGTCTGCGAGTGATTCCCGAATCCCAAGTGCCTCCAGCTTGCCTGCCTTGCTTCGAACTGAATGAATTGTCTGAGCCAAGAAACGTGAAACTGGAGAAGACTGTAAGGCAGGGATGGGATTCAAAATTTTTAACAAACGGTTCTGTGGGCGTGGTTTAGGTGGTGGGCGTGGCTTGGTGGTCATGTGACTGGGTGGGCATGGCTTAGGTGGTCATGTTATTGGCTGGGCGTGGCCAACTCAATATCACTCACATCGAGGCACGCATCTCCTCGCCTGGCCTCTCATGATTGTGGGGATGCTGCAATAGTCATAAGTGTGAAAAAGGGTCATAAGTCACTTTTTCAGGGCCATTGTAACTTTGAATGGTCACTCCACACAAGCAAAGTACAAGCAAAGGAGGGGGAAAAAACTCCAGAGACGTTCCTGAGACAGGAAGAGGCAGTTTCTGTAAGCAACACCAGAATGTTTCCTTCCTGCCTTCCCTACAGGATTAGGCCAGTAATTTCTTCTAACAACCGGTTTTCCGAACTGCTTAGAATGTTAACAACCGGTTCTAGAGAATAGGTGCGAACTGGTAGAATCCCATCCCTGCTGTAAGCTAATTACAGTATTGCAACAGCATCAGTTCTTAGGCTGCACCTAAACAGCCGAGATTCACATTACCAACCTTTTCCAAAACACCAAGGTTGCGAATGGGTTTACTTTCGCAGCTTCGTTTCACAACGGGAAAATTACTCCTGTGTCAGGGCTCCGGCAGTTACTCCCATTTAAATCCCACTTAAATCATGAGTGTTGAGCCGAACTTCCAAACTTAAAGAAGATTTATTAGGAGTAAACATGCCGGTGCTGCCTGGGTGTAGCCCACTCTGAGATACATCATTCCTTGTCACCCTTGACCCTGGTTTCGCCCCCACCCGCTGGATGTGTCATAATTCATATTCTCCAATGGGACACATCCCTAGCCAAGAGTCATCAATCATACTCTCCAGTTAGAATTTTGCGCGGCAGAAACTTCAGTCATCTAGAAACTATCTTTGAAAACATTTATGGAATGCAAGCTGCCCACTGCTCCCACCTCCCTTTCTTTTGGCAACTCTTTAAAAGCCATAGAAATATTTTATGAGTTGACATCCTGCTTAGAAGAGACTTGAAAGGTACGTCTGAACTCCTTTTGATGTCTCCTGGTCGTGGAATGGTTAGATCTCCCCAAGTTGAATTTGCAAGGATTAGTGGAGCCGCCGATGGGGCTATCTGCCAATGAAACTCAAACCCGGAGCAAAGCATTAGAGAGTAGAGAGACAGAGAGCCAATCGCCGGGAACCAAGAGGTAAGCAAAACATCCGCGCTGCTGCTCTCAGAGGATTAAGCTCTGCGCCTGGAATGTGCAGTTTCTCCTCAGTCCTTGGGGGACGAAGCGGGTGGGTGGGCGGGCGAGCACGTCAGGCACACCTGTGAGGAATTCTCTAGCTCAGGCTGGAATGTAAGAACTGATTGAAAATTTTCGGGGGCTCCAGGTCACTTCCCTGACATGAGCGTCGCCCCGCCGCCTCCTGCTTCGTCCCCTGTGGGCAATGGCTACCTCGCAGTGGCAAGCCGGGTCCTCACTACACCGGGACGTGTGCCGTCGCAGAGTTCTTCTCCTGAGAAAAATGCGCTCCAATCTCAGCAGCCTCCTGGAATACTACGTGAGTCCCTCTACTGCGCGCATTCCTCCGTGTGTGAATACGCGCAGAGAAAGATGTGTGTTTTAGGGCTGGGGTTCAGGTTTGGTAAGACCAGGGGTGGGCTGTTGCGGGTTCGCAGGGGTTCGGGAGAGCCCCTTAGCTAAGATTCTGTGGAGTTCGAACAACCCCAAAATCCTACTCCTGGCTGGTCCCGCCCATGCCGTCCTGCCCCTCCCAGAAGCCCCCACAAGGCCTGTTTTGGATGCAGGTAAGTGCAGGGTGTGTGCAGAGGCTCGGGGAGGTGGAAAAATGGACCCCCGGAAGTTCGAAAAGGCCGCAAATGCACCCGTTTCCAGAGAGCCTCAGGAGTCTGGGGAGGCCATTTTCACCCACTCGGAGGCTTGAGGAAAGCCTCCAGATTCTGGGGAGGGCAAAAACATCCCCCCCCGCCACCATCGTGGTGGAGACCAACTAGGCTATGCCCACTATGGCCACTCCCGCTCAGTAACCGGGCAGAGAACCCTTTGCTAAAAATTTTGAAGTAAGACTCATAATTGGAGAGAAGAGAGACCCAAATTGCATTTATGGCTGTGGACCGCAGGATGTTGCTGCAAACTGCCATAAAATGGAGGTTGGTTTCCAAGCACCCAAATCACGATCACGTGAGTGTGGGAATGGGTGCGAAGGTCGTAACTGCAGGGACAGGTCCTAAGTCATATTTATTTTTCAGGCCCCTCGTGACTTTAAACCTTTATTAACGGAAGGGTGGCAAGTCGAGGATTTGTTCGTGTTGTTTCTATAATTTTAAAACTTTAGAGAGAGAATGGGGCAGTTTAAAAATACAAAATATAAATCAATAAATCGGTAAATAAATCAGTAAAAACATGGAGGCTAGTCCCAGTAGACCGATCTTACACAACCGGTTGTTTCCCAGAGGATCTGGAGTTACACCAGGTGCTAGTTTAATAATGGCGTTTTAAGAACCTAGACCAAGGCTCTTCAAACTTGGACAACTTTAAGACTGATAGACTTCAATTCCCAGAATTCATCAGCCAGCCACGCATGGAATTCTGGGAGTTGAAGTCCACAAGTCTTAAAGTTACCATGGTTGGAGATCCCTGGGCTAGAGTACTGGCATGGAACTTCTTTAATAATTAGGGCTGTATTTAATCTATTATTGCTCTTTCCAAGGTCCCAAACATGTAGCTTTCTGGAAGAGGTGGTATGGCCAGCAAAAACTGTAGAATTACATTTTTTTATGACTGCGTCTTTACTCTCTTGGCCTGTTTTCTAATCCTTTTGTTTGCTGCCTTCTTTAGAAGCTGTTCCAGCTAAACCCCAAACTCCAAAGCCTCAGAAGGTGAGATGGCTGGCATGGATATCCTATATATACAGACAGTATGTTGTATTACACCGCAGATGCGTTGCCCTGCAGCAGCTCAAAATCAGGAGCCCTTACCGAGGAATTTAAGGATTTAAGGAAAAGATTGGACAACCATTTGTCTGGAATGGTATTGTTGTGGTTAGCCAGCAGCAGGTGCAGGCAGCTGAGGAGAGCGAGGACTCAGATGAGGGGCCAGGGCCATTAGGGAGTGGACTGCTGCCTTCAGAGATTGTGGGGGCTGGCAGCAGCGATGAGGAGGTTCCCAAGGAGCCTGTGCCAAGCGCACGTGCACGAAGGATTGCTCATAGGAAAGAATAGCTACAACAGCACAGGCAACTCAGGAGTAAGGCTGCAAGGTAACGGCCCCTCCTTCAAGCAGATAAAAGCCAGCTGTGAATTGGACGTTCTTTGCAGGAAGCAAAGATGTTTTGAAACTCCACCTCGTGGACATTCCAGTATCCTGAGTTTGTATTTGAAGATTCTTATTTTGCAAATTATTTCTTGTCTGTTATCTTTTGGCAGTCTCGCACAGTTTGGCAAGGCTTGTGCTTATCACAGCTTAATATTTTGCAGAAGCACTAAAAGGTTTCTGTTCCCTTTGGATTGTGTTTGATTTGTTGGAAAAAAGGCATGGGTCAGAACAAATATTAAGAGGTCAAAGTTGGCCCTTAAAATGAAAATTCAGGTTTTGTACTAGATTGTGTAAATCCCTGTACAGGTAGTAACAATGACAGAACGATAGAATAACAGAACAACAAAATAACAGAGGTGGAAGGGACCTTGGAGGTCTTCTAGCCCAACTCATTGCACAGGCAGAAAACCCTATGTCATTTCAGACAAATGCTTGTCCAATCTCTTCTTGAAAACTTCCTGTAGACTTTGAATTATGACTACAATTGAGCCCAAAATGTACGGTGCTAAGTGAGACATTTTCTTAAGTGAGTTTCGATTCCATTTTACGACTTTTCTTGCCCCGTTTTGTTCAATGAATCACTGACATTGTTAAATGAGTAACAGTGTCATTAAGTGAATCGGGCTTCCCCCATTCACCTTGCAGGCCAGAAGGTCGCCAAAGGGGAATCGCGCGACCCCGCGAACCCTGCAACCATCATAAATACATGCCAGTGGCCAAGCGTTTGAATTTTGGATCATGTGATTGTGAGATGCTGCAACGGTCACAAGTGTGAAAAATTGTCCTAAGCAGAGGTGGGATTCAGCCGGTTCGGCTGGGTTCGAGCGAACTGGATGTTAAATTTACATCTAATTCGCTGAACCAGTAGTTGAACCGACCGGCTGGCCCCGTCTCCCCCTCCCCGCCCCTCCTGGAGTCTCCATGTGGCCCATTTTGGATGCAGGTAAGAGGCTCTGGGAGACCCAAAAATGGGCTGAACTGGAAGTCCAGAAACAGGCCTTTTCCCGGCTTCCGGTTGCCCTCTGGAGTCTGGGGAGGCCTTTTTCGCCCTCCCAGAGGCCTGAGGGAAGCCTCCAGACTCTGGGGAAGGCGAAAAAAGGCCCTCCCGGAAATTCCAGAAGTCCAGAAATGGGCCTGTTTCTGGCTTCCAGAGGGCCTCCAGATCCCAGGGGAGGCTGTTTTTTCCCTCCCAGAGGCCCGAGGAAAGCCTCCGGATTCTGGGGAAGGCGAATAACGGCCCTCCCGGAAGTTCCAGAAGGCCACGCCCACCATAGCTACGCCCACCCAGCAACTGGGCAGAGAACTGGTTGCTGGGATTTTTGAATCCCACCCCTGGTCCTAAGTCCCTTTTTTCAGTGCCATTGTAGCTTCAAACAGTCACTCAACGAATGGTTGTAACCGAAGGACTGTAGCCAAGATACGCCCCTTCTCACTTCTGAACTATCGTCATTACTTTTGTTTTCTGTTTTTTTTTCTTCTAGAATTTTTCTGGAAGTCCATCCTCCAAAAGGCAATACGTTGAAGAGACAACGAAAACCGAGGGCCACCTCAAAATGTTCAAAATGGAGCCGTTAAATGAGGAGGAATGGAATGATTCCACCTCGATGAGGAACGAACCAGGGACCAGTTATGGATCCACTGGAGTTTCTTACATCACAGGAAATCAGGAAGGCCTCAGGGAAACTCTGGATGATACTCTGATAGCTACTGACTATTCATCGGATCTAGGTAGCGTGACATTCAGAATGCCTCGTCTTGAAATTTCAAGAGAATTTCGATTCATGCATAAAACAGATTTTATTTTTGGAGGTGTATGAAGGGCAGTTTCTTTCTGGGTGAGGTTCATTCCATGGAAGGCCCTCATGAGCATAACGATGCCACAATATGATGATGGATGAAAAGGCCTTTTGATTATTATAGAGCAGGGGTCCCCAACCTTTTGGACCTCAGGGACCACCAAACTCAGAATGTTAAATCCCGCGGACCACTAATATGAATTTTGACTAACGGTGGCTTGCTGACGTTGGTGGGAAAGTCGGTTCCCTATTCCAGAGCTGCAGGAGTCACAGGAAAACTGGCCCTTTGGTCATCCCGGAGCAGCTGCTCCTCCACCCGGGTGCACCGGCCTTCCATGGACTGGAGGAGCTGCTCCGGGATGACCAAAGGGCCAGTCCTGTGACTCCTGCAGCTCTGGAATATGGGACCAACTTTCCCACCAACGTCAGCAAGCCACCCCGGGGCGGATTTCCCTCCCCCACTGTTGGTCTTACCTTCCAGTTCCATCTCACATGACTCTACTCAAAGTAAGGTTTGCGCTCGGCCAAGGGTGGGGGCCAGCGGGTGGGCGGGCCTTGTGTCCCCGCGCAGCCTGAATTAATTGCTTTGGTCTCTGCAGACCACTAAAGTTTTCTCACAGACCACCAGTGGTCCCCAGCCCACAGGTTGGTGACCACTGATTTAAAGGAACAGTTAGTAAGGTCTTATCAAAATTGCAAGTAGCAGATTATTTGTGTCCCCGCCTTGTTATTTTTATACATCATTTGAGGTGGCAAACAGAATATTCCTTCCTCCGCCTATTTTTCCTTACAAAACAACCCCCTGTGAGGTGGGTTGGGCTGGAGAGTGAGTGACTAGCCCACAGTCACCCAGCTGGCTTTGATGCCTAAGGTGGAACTGGAACTCACACAGTGTCCTGGTTTCTAACTATAATGCAAGCTTGCATTGCCCTGAAGTAATTTTGAAAAAAAATGGAGGAAGGGTTAATTTGAAAAAAAAAATTGGCTAAAATGACTTTAATCCTTGTTCGATAGTCCTTCATAAAATGTCTCTGAGATCAAAATTGGGTCTGAAATTCTTTAGAGGAGAAATGGGCAACCAGTAGTCCATATATTTTAAGATGAACAATGGTAATATCCCTTGAAGCTGATTTCTTTTAAAAAAGCTGTATGATGTAGACCATCCTAAATTATTAACTTGAGAAATTGTACTTCAGTTTATTATCCTCAAATGCCCCTTATCACTTATCTTCATGGGAGTTCTAGTTTACTCATGGTTGCCAGAGAAATTGTGACATTTGAAGACTCTTAGCTGCTAAGTAAATGGAAGGAAAAAGAACAAAATAATTAGCAGATGGATAGACCAAATTACAGGACCAACATAGGCCCTGTTAGAAGGCCTAAAGGAATTCTGGAGAAGATCTATGTGGTCATTACCCATAATGGTCGTTTTTTATGCTGACTTAATGGAACATTATCCAAGAAGTAGCTTTTGGTGACGCTCATTATGGCTATTCCTTAACGTCTGTCTTTACTTTGGCAGAAGAAGACTCTTCAATGAACATTTCTTCAGAAGAAGAATCCACTGATGATGATGATGATGATGATGAAATCGGGGTGAGTGTATAGTCACCTAGTTCCACAATGCCATCTCCTTGGCATTCTCTTCATAACACAAGTTTTGGCCAAGAAGACAATGATTTGTACACCAATAATTTTGAGGACATCTATCTATGCCACCTCAACAAATGGTTGACTGCATTGGCTGGGACAGCAATATCTCAGTTGACCCTGTCTAAAAGGGAGAAAACAGATTATTTGGCCCGTTTCACGTGATTTCTTGTCATCAAAGGAGGACCTTAAGTACAATTTATTTACTGCAATAACTCTGTTAGTTCTTAAAGTTGTTGGCCTTGACCATTGAGCTTCATGACTCAATTCTACTACTTTTTACCAAATACGTCTTGATTGAGGGGACAAGTCAACTAGTGCTGGATCTCCAGAGCATAACCTTGATTGTTCGTCTTCTTTGCAGGCCTCAAACCTTTCCCTGGACATCAACCCTATATCACCAGTTGGCCAGAAAAGCCCTATGAGATATCCGTTAGACAAACCTGAAAATGCCAGCTCCCAGTTCATATTCTTTCTCTTCAAGTCTCTACGTAAGTGGCCTCCAAGATATTTGTGACCATATGTATCCTGGGAGCAGTGATGGGATTCAAACATTTTTTACTACCTGTTCTGTGGCCATGGCTTGGTGGGCATGGTATGGCTTGGTGGGCGTGGCAAGGGAATGATACTGCAAAATTCCCATTCCCTCCTCAGCCCACTAACCTGCTTTCCAGCTCCATTCTCCTGTGCAGGGCAACCAAAGAAGACCCAGCCGATCAGCTGGGACTCAGGAGGCAGAGAATAGATAGGGGCAGGGGCAGTCAGAGGTGGTATTGGCCCGTTCTCCGAACTACTCAAAATTTCCTCTACCGATTCTCCAGAACTGGTCAGAACCTGCTGAATATCATCTCTGCCTGGGAGCCAAGGGTGGTCATCTTGCCTGAAGTAGGTCAACTCAACCTTCTGTTTCCTAGAATGACCTGAAACAACAAAGCATAAGTGACACCATCACCTCTGAGAGGAGTAGCACTAAGGCCCACAGCCTTGCAAGGGTGCAAGTATTCCCAGGAGTCTCCATCATTCTATCTTCTTCAATGTGGAGGAACGCTCATGATACATGTTGGGTTTCAAAGGTTGATCACAATGAGAGGTGGTATTCTGCCAGTTCTGACGGGTTCTGGAGAACCGGTAGCGGAAATTTTGAGTAGTTCAGAGAACCAGCCACTCCCACCTCTGACTGGCCCCACCTCCATCTATTCTCTGCCTCCCATTGAGTCCCAGCTGATCGGCTGGGTCTCCTTTGGTTGTCCTGCACAGGAGAACGGAGCTGGAAAGCAGGTCAGTGGGGTGGGGAGGGAAGGGGGATTTTGCAGTATCCTTCCCAAGCCACGGCCACCAAGCCACGCCCACCAAGCCACACCCACAGAACCGGTAGTAAAAAAATTTGAATCCCATCGCTGATCACAATCCTTTTAATTTAGCACCTAAGAAAGAGAATTCAGTATTATTTGCTCTTTTGGCATGTATCTTTCTTCCTACCTGCTCCCTAGTACAAGTAGTCCTTGACTTAAGACCACAAATGAGCCCAGAATTTAGGTAGCTTAGTGAGAAATTTGTTGACTGAGTTTTGGTCCCCGTTTTACAACTTTTCTTGCAACCATTTCAGACAAATGGTTGTACAATCTCTTCTTCCAGAAGTCTTTGACTTATGACCATAACTGAGCCCAACATTTCTGCTGCTAAATGAGACTGCTGTTAAGCGAGTCTTGCCCCATTTTATGACCTTTCAAGCCACAGTGGTTAAGTGAATCACTGCGGTTGTCAGCTTAGTCACGCGGTTGTTAAGTGAATCTGGATTCCTCATTGACATTGCTTGCAAAAGGGGATCAAATGACCCTGGGACACTGCTGGCGTCACAAATGTGAGTCACTTGCCAAGCATCTGAATGTAAATCACGTGACCCTGGGGATCACGTGACCATTGTAACTTCAAACAGTCACTCAATGAACCGAATGATGAATGAATGAATGAAATGAGTGAAGTTGTTGTGGTTAGCCGGCAACAGGTACGGACGGCTGAGGACCATGAGGGAGTGGGCTGCTGCCTTCAGAGATTGTGGGGGGCTGGCAGCAGCGATGAGGAGGTTCCCGAGGAGCCTGTGCCAAGTGCACGTGCACGAAGGATTGCTCGCAGGAAAGAGCAGCTGCAGCAGCAAAGGCGACTCGGGAGTAAAGCCGCAAGGTAATGCAGATAAAAGCCAGCTGTGAATCAGACGTTCTTTGCAGGAAGCAAAAACGTTTTGAAACTCCAGCCTCGTGGACATTGCAGTATCTTAAGTTGGTATTTGAAGACTCTTGTGTTGTAAAATATTTCTCATCTGTTGTTCTTGGCAGCCTTGCAGAGTTTTGGCGAGGCTTGTGCTTATCAAACTTAGTTTGCAGCAGCCTTTTTACCGGGCATTCATAAGACTCATTAAAAGGTTTCTCTTCCCTTTGGTTTGCTTTTGTTTTATTGAAAAAGGGTTTGGGTCACAACAGGAGTTGAGGACTTCCTTTATTCTTATTTTCATTGAGAAACATGTTCAGGTCCATCACTTTCATTCCTCAACCTGGACCAATGATGTCTCTCTTTTCATTGCAGCAGGAAATAGCCTTCATTTGGTCGTCCTTGGAGACAAAGACACCGTTTTCAACGTCACGATTTCTTACCAGGAAAATTCAAGAGAAAGAGTCAGTGTGTTTGGCTTGGATGAGCTCCTCCAGTATCTCAGCATCCTCCAGGTGCCCATTTTGGTGGGATACAAACTGTGGTCCATGGACATCCCTGCTCTGCTTAATGCCCTTCAGGAAATCAACAAAGAACAACAGTTTGAAGGGTCCATCTTAGGTTTCTTGGATGTTTTGCCCCTCATCAGAGAAAAAATCCCAGACATCTCTAAAAATACACTGAAGAATGTAGACAAGAAGTATCTGTGTGGAACGTTGGACCACACCAACATGAGCAACTGTGTCAGATATCTGATGGAGCTCTGTACCAGGTATGAAATTAACAAGGAGTTCTTGAGATTACAACTAATTCCTTGTTCCAGCTTAAGATGTTACTCCTCTCTTCAACCTCTCCTGCGGGAGAGAGTCCTCTCCATGCCCTCGGTGCAGACTTTGGCCTTGCACAACATCTCCCTTGACACACTGCAGTGTACCTATCTAAGCGACCCCGAGGAAGGGCTGAAGAAGCTGTGCAGGCGTTTGAACGCCAACCTGAGGATCGGGGAGAAAAAAATCCAACGGTTGAGTAAGATCCGTACCTATTTCCAACACCTCCCATCGTCCTCTCAAGGTTCTTCACTTCCAGAGATTCCTTAAGGGACACTCTTAGTTGCTATGGGGTTAAAATGACCCTTCTGGGAATGAAACCACACAGCACTGGGTGCTATGCCTGGTCAAAGTGACATTTCATGACAATATTTTTTTTAAAATAATTTTTTTAATCTTATTTTTATTACAAACATCTTTTCTTCCATTTGACGACGTGTCATCTTACAACTGTCTTATGAAATACAATTAGTAGTTACAATCTTATTCATTATAGTGGTACTGTTCTTTACTCTTATCTTAATATATACTTAATATCTCTGTCCCTTTACTCTTTTTCTTGTTTGCTTCTATTAGAGAATCTACTATATTTCAACATTCTTAATTGATCCATTAACTATGTCTAGTTTTCATATTTTTTCTCTAGCCATTAATAAAATAATATTCAGTTTTCTCTCTGTCTTTAATTGCAAGTGTTAATCTAATCATTTCTGTACATTCTAATGTTTTCCTAATCACATTTTCTTCAGTAGAAATCTTGTTCCTTTTTCCAGTTTTGAGCAAATACAATTCTCACTGCAGTTAGTACATGAATAATCAAGTATACATTCTCTGTACTCTATGTTTCAGGTAAGATCCCCAATAGGAATATTTCTGGTTTTAAGTCAACACATTGTTGTATCATTGGTTCCAACCATAGCCATATTTTTGTCCAGTACTTTTTGCTTCAAAGCATGTCCATCATATATGGTAATATGTGCCGGGTGTTTGGTGGCATTTCCAACATTTTGCTGATTTATCTTTAAACATCTTTGCCAACCTTGCTGGCGCAAAATGCCATCTATAAAACATCTTATACAGATTCTCTTTATATGCTGTTGACAGTACTCACCTCTCAAAGCCTACTTGGTCACTTCAAATCCTTAAGTATCCGGTTGTTTTTTGGAGGTCAGTTAATCTAACGATTTGAGGCCGAGCTTTTATCCACAAAATTACATGTTGGTATTGTGAGATTATTGAAAACAGATGCTTCAACAGACTCCTTTTTCCACCATAAACGCAAACCAATAAAGCTGTATTATTTTTTGAGTTTCTCTCCTCCATTTTCATTGAAACCTGTTCATTAGGACACGCACCTGATATTCCTCTAGCTGCATGTATTCTCCTCCTGCATTGAATCTGAAACTATAACCACAGTTTGGCTCAGCTGTTTGTCTCTTAGGTCAGTGGCCCCCAACCTTTTTTGAACCACGGACCGGTTTCACAATTATTTATTCTTCCACGGACCGGTACCTGAGTAACGCGAGATTCCACCGCCATCGGGACAGCTCTTCGTTTGAAGCCGCCCCCCCTCTTCGACGAAACTAAGGCGTGAGCACCCAAATGCCGCTTTCCAACTGAAAACCCGGAAGCAACCAAAAACACGGAAGCGCCGTCGAAACAAGATGGCGGCGCCCAAGCTTTGCGGCCCGGTAAAAAATGATCCACGGACCGGTACCGGTCCGGGGACCAGTGGTTGGGGACCCCTGTCTTAGGTGACTGGGTGTCACCATATGTATAACACACACACACACACACACACATATCTGGTTCTTGTTTAGAAAATGGCAAAGCCAGAATGCCATCCTTGCAGAACGCAACTACCGGTATTTTTAAGGTAGTGCTTCCCAATTTTAGCAACTTGAAGAAGTCTGGACTTCATACCACCCCAGACTTAAAATTCTAGACCTAGAAAACGTAGCACTACACGGCCTTCGGTCCAACCTAAGTATAGTACATAAAATCATACATGGCTATGTCTTACATGTCAATGAATACTTCAGCTTCAGCCACGACAATACAAGAGCAAACAATAGATACAAACTCATGGTTAACCGTACCAAACTTGATTGCAGGAAATACGACTTCAGCAACAGAGTGGTCAATGTCTGGAATACTCTACCTAACTCTGTGGTTTCTTCCCCAAACCCCAAAAACTTTAACCTTAGACTGTCTACTTTTGACCTCACCCCTTTCCTAAGAGGTGTGTAGGGGCGTGCATAAGCGCACCAATGTGCCTACCGTCCCTGTCCTATTGTTTCACATATATATGTGTGTGTGTGTGTTAAGTTTTCGCGGGTACTTACATGTATGGTATTCAGCTTTGTTCAGGTATTTTCCCACGTCATTATAGTTGTGCTTTTAAAGTTGTAGCAACATTTCAGCAGAATCTCATCTGCCATCATCAGGCTTCTGTATTGTGTTCGTCTGTGCACAGACGAACACAATACAGAAGCCTGATGATGGCAGATGAGATTCTGCCGTATAATTTTTCTTATATGTATCCATGTATTCATAACTACATTTTTACTTATACCTATTATCTTGTAAGAAATTGACAAACCAAATAAATAAATAAAATAAATAAATATCCCAGAATTCCCCAACCAGGGATGCTGGCTGGGGAATTCTGGGAGTTGAGGTTCAGAAATTTTCAAGGTGCCAAGTTTGCTTTAAGATGAGATCTGCTTGCCTTGCTTACAAATATCATATTGTTATACAGTATCTTTTGGACAAAATCCAAGCAGGGCTACTACATCAAGCCATCATAGTTTATTTGCATCTTGTGTGGTGTGAACCCAGCCCAGAAGGTAGGAAATTTCTTATTCCAACAAGGATTAAACTTGCAAAGCCCATGAATGGCTGATCTCACACAGTCTGTAGCTAAAATATTGCTAATGTTAGATTCTTTTGAACCAGCCAAGAATGTCTGCCTAGTAGTAAACTAGGAGTATATATGAATTATGGCTTCCAAGCATGACCAACTTATTTTTTATAGAATTATTAAGTAAAGAAAACAAATTTAGTTCAGCAAAATGTCTCTGTGTGATATAGTGTATGTAATTATAATTTACTCAAACATTGGAATATTTTACCCCAAATATGAAAGCGGCTGATCACTCACTACTGTACTGCATTCAGTCAGTCATTTAGTCTAAACTTAAGCAAACATCATTCTAGACCTGGGTTCAAATTCCCTACCTGACCTCAGAACTTGGGAGAGAAGGCAGTCAGGTTCCCTCAGCCCACCATACCAAATGGTTTCTGTAGGGATAAAATTTGGGGAGACTTACACAGGAGTCTTCAAACTTGCCAGCTTTAAGACTGGTGGACTTCAACTCCCAGAAATCTTCCTCCAGTCATGTTAGCTCAGGAATTCTAAGAGTTGAAGTCTGCAAGTCTTAAACTTGCCAAGTTTGAAGGCCCTTGCTCTTAGAGGTCATATTAAGCACCCAGAGGACAGGTGAACCTGTTATTATTGCTTTGGGCTTTACTTCCAAGAGTTCTTTGAGATGCCCTCTTGTCTTGCATGTTCAAGATGTGGTGGACCTACCTAAAATTCCTCTCCCAGTTTTTTTGTGGAGAGCTTCTATCTTCTCTGCTCCAGATCCCTCCTGGGTGTGTCTCTGGAGATTCTCAACCATCCAGGCCAAGGATCTTCAAACTTGGCCAGTTTAAGACTTGTGGACTTCAACTCCCAGAATTCCTCAGCTAACATGACTGAAGGAGGAATTCTGGGAGTTGAAGTCCACAAGTCTTAAAGCTGTCAAGTTTGAAGACCTCTGATCTAAGCCATGGTTGTTCCAAAGGTGCATTTTCCAAAAGGCACCTGGACTTTCTTGGTTTTTCCAAATAGCAATGGAACTTTAAAAAAAATAACGCGACTTGAAAGGAGACCTTGAAGATCCTCTAGTCCAACCCCCTGCTCAAACAAAACCCTATGCCACGTCAGACAGATAGTTGTCCCATCTCTTCTTGGCTTTTTTTTCCCCTTTGAAAATATTTCATTGCTCATCCATGAAGCTGCTTCTTCTGAACTGAAGAAGCTTCTTGGATGAGAAGAGAAACATTAAAAAAAAAAAAAACCAAGGAAGTCTGTTAGTTTTGGAAAAAGCACCTCTGAGATGCTCCCATGTAGTTTCAGCCAGTTGATCACACCCTCCTCGGCCCTATGTAAATCTAAGTACTTTCAGAAGACAGACTGAAACTCTTAACCTCCATTAAATGTCCTCCTCCCTCTGGCCCAAGAGAGCCTGCAGCTGAGGGGTGGAGATCCAAACTCATGTTTTCTTGGTGCTTTGCAGAATTTGCACTGGCTGAAGCTGATTAGCTGCCTCATTATTTCAGCCAGGTGAGGTAAGGTTGGCCTTCAGGAGCCGCCTAGAATAAAAAGGATCCTGGGTAGATGCTGGTCTTTTCTGCCAGCTTCCTAGAACAGACAAGGATGGGACCCTTACAGAAACTGGCCATTGTTTTAGCTTGTTGGCTAATGGGAGAAGTGGCCTCCTTGGACCCCCAAGATTATGTCTGGGGGTTTTCTGGCACACCTGCTCCTATGAGGCAGCATTATCTACCTTCTGGGGTTGAGACTTACCCTTATGCTTGGGTAGACGCTTCTCAGGCACGAGCTTTGTCCCTCCTGTCACCTGTGCTGGCCCAGTGTGAAGAAGCCCATGTCATGGTGACCGTGAAGAGAGACCTCTTTGGCACAGGGAGGCTCGTCCAGGTGGAGGACCTGAGCTTGGGTCCAACTGGCTGCCAACCCACGACCTACAACACTGCTGAGAACACTGTTATTTTTTATGCAGGCCTTCATGAGTGTGGGAGTGTTTTGCAGGTAAGAGGGAAAGGTGTTTTGAGAACCCAATCCTTGTCTCCTTTGGCAGGTCCTAGAATGTAACCATGATAGCCAGTTCTAGTAATTAGAACCAGAATAGAGCTGGAAGGGACCTTGAAGGTCTTCTAGTCCAGCCCCCTGCTTCAAGCAAGAGACTCTAATTTTCAGGACAATAAAACAACTGGCTTGTTCACAAGAACCACAATGTTTCTCTTTCCTAGATACTGTTTTTTTCCCCTTTCTTCCTTTCCTTTCCTTTCTTCCCCTTTCAGTTCTCTTTCTGTTCTAAAAGTACCCTGTTATCTCTGGGAGTTGTTAGAAGAATGCAATTAAAACAGCATTCTCTTGCAAGTCACAACTGGGTAGAACTAACTTTCTGAAAAATGCAAAAGTGTAGAAAAAGCTTTTGTTACTTTTGTGTCTCACCTGGGGCTTGTTTTACATTTGTTTGGCTGCTAGCTGCCTTAAACTTGAAAAAAACAACAACCAAGAATTAAAGAACTCAGAACGGGCTTGGTGTGAGGTTTTCTGCTATTCTATGTTTCTGCTATTCCAAGAGTTTGAAGAACCTGTTTTCCCCAAACCAAGAAATTCCCCCTGTATTCCAAGCACCAAATTAACTTCTGGTTTATTTCTGTATCTTGTATCTCTCTCTCCTTTCTCTAGATGACTCCAGACTTTCTTGTCTACAGCATTAGCCTTCATTACAAGCCAACGCCTTCTTCCCACAGTGTAATTGTAAGAACTAGCCCAGTTGATGTTCCCATTGAGTGTCACTACCCAAGGTGAGTTCAGAGGATGAAATTAATAAAAGGTGAGGTTGGCTTGACTGTTAGAGATGGTTACCTTGGGTGGGAGGTGAGAACATACTGTTGAATAAAAGAACTTATCCACCCAAGGCAGCAGAATTTCTGGAGATAGCCCTGGTGGATAAAGACTTGTTATTTTGGGGAGACCTTACCTGTCTCTTATTTTCAGGAGAAACAATGTAAGCAGTAATGCAATCAAGCCAACATGGATTCCGTTCGCGTCAACTATTTCTGCGGAAGAAAAACTTCGCTTCTCTCTACATTTGATGAATGGTACTTCTTTTTATGTGGTTGCTAGGAGTTGGGAAATGATTTGGTGGCCCATAATCACTTCCAGAAGCCCCCTCTTCCTTCATGAGTTTCCTGAACAGGAGTGTCCAATGAGTTTAAACCTAAATTGTGCACAAATTACATTTTTTTCACATTGGCTTTAGTGAAACCATTTTTTAAAATTGGTTAAAAAAATTGATTCCACTTTTGCATTGCTTTGCGCATAAGGCCAGACAATGTATGTGCATTTGTACATATGCCTTGCAAACATAATTGTGCACAATACACACTTTTGCACAGTTTCTGACTGGCATTTCCAGAGTTCCTAATAATTCTTCAAATTTGGGTGGGGGGTGGGGGAATGCAGATATTGGTGTGTACTGGTTTCTGCA